CCAGCAGGAGAAAACAGTGTACTTGTGAACCGTCTCAGCTGAGACTACTCTCCAGTGCACAAGTGGTCTCCCTAAAGGATTAGTTGGTTGAAACTATTTTCCAGGCTTGGTTGACCAGACACAGATCTTTTTGCAACCAGACAACAACAAATGTCACCTTTTCTGTTCTGGAGCAGGTTGAGACAGTCAGTTTTTGTCAGATGTCTTCCTTCTACACTGGGAAAGTTTTATTGTCCACTTCTCCTCCTCCCACACTGATCCAGAAGATAGTAAGGATGGTATATCAGGACAAGGCAAGGATGATACTGATTGGCCGAGGTGGGCCATGTAAGCAGTTGTTTACTGATCTCCTTCAACTGTGTGGCGGAGTTTTCATGCTTCTTCATTCTTTCATTGCTATCCCAGAATGACACAGGATCTTTCATCCAGATCCACAGTCTCTTCAACAGATAGTATGAGCTATCTGACTTTGACTCAGTCTGCTCTTGAGCACTCATATTCTCCATCTGTACAGGACATCATGGTTAACTCTAGAAAAAAATCTACAAGAAACTGTTACCATCTATAGTGGTCCAGATTATAGTGGATGAAAATTCTGACTCCTCTATGTTGGCTTTGTGTTCTACCATAGTGCACTTAAAGAATCAGGATTTATCTAACTAATTATAAATAGTTCATTTGGCAGCTATTTCCACTTATCACACCCTAGTTCACTGGTAGGCAGAATGTAGCTTACCAGGTAGCTTCAGAAAAAATACCGGAGACACTTGATTGGGGAGGGGGAGGGAGGGACAGGCCGGGAGGGGAGCGAAGCTGGCCAGGAGGAGAGGGGGATGGGGCAGCAGAGCTGGACGGGAGAGATCAGACGGAGGAGGGTCAGAGGAGCGGGGCTGTCTGGAGGAGATCAAGAGGAGGAGAACCAGCTGGCAGGAAGCAGGACTGGTCGGGGGGAGCGGGGCTGGCGCTGGGGGGGGGGGGGAGAATCAGCCAGCGGGGAGCGGGACTGACCCGGGCATATGCAGATCCCAGGGCGCTGCCTGTCCCATGCACGGTCCTGGTGAAGCACAAGGGTGTCCGGCTATGGCTCCATAACGCGCTTGAACAGCGCTCAAGAGTACGGACAGGGCTTCTCCTCCCCCCCAAGGTGTCACTCCTATGTCAGACGCAACCAGAGGCTCCCAGCAATGATCACGCCCCACCTCCCAGCCACCACCCCCTGCCCCCCCACACACCTTTGCCAGGCTTCCATCAGGCGCCCAGCCAGAAAACCAGGAAATACCGGATATTGCACATATCTAGTATTTTTTGAATTTTTTTAATGGACGGGGGCGCAAAACCAGACTGTCCGGTTGAATACTGGACACCTGGCAACCGTAGCAGACCGTGGACTGCCCAAACAGGATGTTTACTTTTCATCCTCAGGTATGGCCGCCCACAGCTCCCATTGCCCACAGTTTGCCATTCCGACCCAACAGGAACTGTGAACCAGAGCCAATAGATGCTCCGAGTGGCCGTACCTGCAGACACAAAGTCAACAACCTGTTTGACGGCCCACCAGTGGCTTACCCTGATGCAGATTGCTCTAGTTGATGGTTCAGTTAAAAGATTTATGAGAGGATTATCAAATGTGAATCCCCCTGCCATCGGTCCTGTTTCTTCTTGGGATCTTAATTGGATGTTGTCCATGTTAGTGAAAGTGCCTTTCAGGCTCCTAGCTGAGTGCTCTTTGTACCACTTATCTAATGAGAACAGTTTTTGTTATAGCTATAATGATCAGGAGAGTATGTGAATTGAATGCCCTTGTGGCTGATGCATACTTCAGTTGTTTCCCTAAAGACAAGGTGGTTCTCAAATCAGATTCTAGATTTTTAAATGTAGCGGTGTTTGGTTTTCTTATCAGTCAGACAATGCCCGTTTTTTCCCCTAAGCTGCACTGTAATAAAGTAGAACGTGTCAAACATACTTTGGATATCAGAAGGGCCCTCGCCTATTACCGGTAGAGGACTAAAAGTTTTCATAAATCTTTCAGATTGATTGTGATTTATGCCAAAAGCAACGTGAGACATATGGTTTCTTACCAGACTATTTCTCTGTGGATTAAACAAAAGCAGAAGTCCTTGTAATCTACTGCAAATCAAGCGCATTTCAATAAAGCTGTAGCTAGGTTCTTCACCTCTCTTAGGCAGGTGCCAGTTATTGAAATCTGCAAAGCTGCAACCTAGATTTCTAGGAGAAGAATAGGATTTACAGGATTGTGCTTATCTCCATTCAAGTAGACCTTGGTTCCTTCCTCCAGGTTTCTTTCAGCACTGCTTATTAACATATCCCAGAAGTGAGACTATGCAGAGGCACTTGAAGAAGAAATGAAGGTTACTTATTAGTAATCAGAGTTCTTTGACATGGCTCTGCATATTCACACTTGCCACCTCCCTTTCCTCCTTATCAGAGTCTTTGTTTTCTGAGCCTCTGGCTTTGCAATGGAAGCAAGCAAGCGAGTTGGGGAGGGCACTCAGTGACATAGGCTCACCCTAGATGTAGTACAAGAGCACCCTAACGTACATTGCTAGAAGATGGTTCTACTGCAAGGACCATAAGTGGCATAGTATGAATATGCAGTGCCATCTTGAACAACTCTGGTTTGAGGTAAGGAACCTTTATTTTTCACTGAGAACTTGCTTCTGTTCTAGATTTTCCAGTAAATTGGCTAAGGTCCAGTGCTATACAATAGAGAGATGAAGTCTTTTCTCTGTGTAGAATCATGTACAGTAACACTCCAATAGTCCGGCATCCAGTTGTCTGGCACTCCTGATAGTCTGGCATCAACTGGAACCTGGAACTGCTCAGGTCAGCCGTTCTCACAGCTGGGCCACTGTGAGCCGCAATACGTGCTCACGGCCCACACCATTCAGCTCATGGTCCCCAACGCACACAGCATCCAGCTTGCACGTGCTAGCAGCTGGCCACTGAGCACAGGCAGCTGCTTCAGGACCCGGACATAAGGCGGGGGGAGAAAGGGGATTGGGTGACAGCAGAGAGGGGAGGTGTTTGGCTCTGGGAAAGGGAAGGGGAGAGGAGGGGGTTAGGTTGCTCATGGCATCCCAGCCAGCTCATTGAAAAGCCGGCTGCTCAGCGCATGTACCCCAGCGCCTGGAGGGAAATGCACAGCTGTACCAGCGGCTCCGGGACCCAAGCATAAGATGGGCAGGGGGATTGGGTTGGGAGTATGCCCCCTTATAGTACCTCCTGGTACTCCGGCATATCCAATAATCCGGCACCACCTAGGTCCCACAGGTGCTGGATTATCGGAAGTCTACTGTACTTAGAAAATATAGGAAGCTCAGTTTAGGGATGTTAAATTGTGTTTAATCAGCTAATCAAGTTGTCGATGGAATTTCCATCAACTACTCAATTAGTTGATATGGGGGCAAACTGAAGAAGTTAGCTCCTGGCCCCTAACCTCCTCTCCGCCCTCTGCCCCCCCGCTTGCTGTCTCTCTGTGATAGAGGCAGCGGGGGTTAGGGAGAAGCGACTAGTTGAGTCACTACTTGACAACCCAATAAGCACATGCTTATTGGGTAGTCAACTAGTTGCTTACATTCCTACCTTAGTTAGAATTGAGAATCAGTAATCTCATACATTATCAAGGCCCTTTTCACTAGCTGTATCTCTACTTAGGATGGCTTTACTTTCCTGCAGTTCAAAGGATATACACCTATGTCCTCATAAAATTGCCATTTCTATAGAAACAATGGCAAAGGAAACTTATCATTTGCTCTGTCTTTTACCCCTCACTGTGAGTAAGAAAAAGTTCAAAAAAGGGCAACAAAAATTATTAGGGATTTGGAATGTATGCCATATGAGAAGAGATGCAATAGACTGGGACTTTTCAGCTTAGAAAAGAGGAGACTAAGGGGGGAGAGGGTTAAGATAGAGGTCTATAAAATCATGACTTGTATGATGAAAGTGCATAAGGAAAAATTATTTACTTGTTCCCATAACATAAGAACTTGGGGTCACCAAATGAAATGAATAGGTAGCAGGTTAAAAGAAACAAAAGGAAGTACTTCTTCATGCAACGCATAGTCAACCTGTGGAACTACTTGTCACAGGATGTTGTGAAGGCCAGGACTTTAACAGGGTTCAAAAAAGAACTAGATAAATTCACAGAGGATAGATCCATCAATGGCTATTAGCCAGGATGGGCAGGGATAGTGTCCCTGGCTTCTGTTTGTCAGAAGCTGGAATGGGTCACAGGGGGTGCATCACTTGATGATTCCCTGTTCTGTTCATTCCCTCTGGGGTATCTGGTATTGGCCACTGTCAGCAGACAGGATACTTTGCTAGATGGACCTTTGTTCTGACCCAGTATGGCCATTCTTATGTTTTTATGAGTATTTAGCAATTTTATAGTAAATTACTTGGCAAGAGATTTTATTTTCATATAATTTAGTAGCATTTGCAGGAGCAAACTGATTGATTGTGTTGTCTTTAGAAAAATTCAATTTTTCTCTTTCAGCTGATTTTCTAATTTTAAACTTTCAGTTCTTCTTTCCATTTAGAACCTTAGTCCTGCCCTCAGATTCCCCATATCTATGCAGTATCGCACTGCCGTTAATGGGATTTCAAATATATAGGGTCCATATGAGCAAACCACATTACAGGACTAGGACCCACAATATCGGTGTTTGAAAATATCCTAATTTGACCTTTGAAAGTGCTGCATAGTCAGCCTCATCAAATACTCATTAAGGACCTGAACCTACAAATGTTAGCAATATGTTTAGCTTTAATAGTCCAGCTGAAGTCTACAAATATTTGCGTGCAAGGAAATTTAATTCTTTTAGTTTTTGTATATCCCTTACAAAAATGTTTAGCATTGTAATTGTATTATTCTTTCATAAGAAGTCTGCTGTTTCCATATTTTAGCTTGAGAAGAACAGTGAAATATTAATAGTGATTCATTTATTTTTTGATTGTTTTCCCCTGCTTTGTTTTGCTAGATTGATTCAGTTGAGAACTTTACATTGTCTAATACTCCTTCACGGGATGAAGATATCAAGTCTCACCTCCATTCAAGATCTAGGTCTCCTTCCACAGCTAGTGACATCGAACCGATTGAGGTACTCTCAGTGCTGATGCTTTGATGTTTTACTTATGAACTAAGAGTTTGTTCTGTTGTGAGTCCTGCAAACAGTTTGTCCTTCTATTGAAGATGAAATTCACTCACATGCCTCATATAAGAAATGTACACCATTTTAAGCCTTTAAACATGAGTTCTCTGCACTGCCCTGAATTTCCACTTTAGAGCAAATTAACTTTTACTCAGGATACAACTGATTGGGCTGGGGAATACACATGGAATGAATTGTAACTTATCTTTAGTTGTGATATATATTTGAAAAGTCTGTGCTAAAAATTACATTATACTGTAGTTTTGTTTAATGACTCATTCTGAATCGCTTTCAAAACCATATTAAGTCAAAATGCTAAATACCTATAACAATGTGGCCTGCATCTCCTTATTATAATGTACATTTTTAAAGGAAAATTTAAAGTTGAAAATTCAAACTGATTCTTTCAGTATAGACCATGCAGTATTAAACCATCTAAATAAATCTTTTCTTTATTAACAGAGCAGACTATTTTCTTGAAATTTTCTGCTGTGAGATTTAAGTTTTATTTTTGCCATTTTTCCCTTATATTAGTTTGTTCCCCACTTTGGTTGCTTTGCAGTTGATTGTTGGCATTTTGGTTTGGTTTGGTTTTTTGGTTTTCTGTTCTGGTCAAACAGCTTTTGATAACGTGCCTTTGATGTCTCACTCCTTTTTTGTGGGGTGGTTGTGTTTAGGTTACAGATCATCCTCCACGCTCAGTTCACACACCAGCCATGAGACCGGCATTTATTGGATCAGGACTCTCTGCACCAAAGGTACACAGTTACACCTTCAAAAAGTTTATACAGAAAGGGAATGCATTTATTCCTAAACACTGGTTTCTGGAAATGTATCAGAATTTTCTTGTCAGAATTGCTTGGGGGTTTTGTGTTCAGTTGAGTCTCCAAAAAAGCAAGGAGTTTAAGGCCCCCAAACTCTGGTTAGGGTTGACTGCCTAATGCAAGAGTACATGCAGTTGATCGTTTGCTCTGCATGTCTGATCACAGCAAAATTGCTAACTTGGGCATTTAAAAAGAACAAATGGAGATTATGGAGCTAGAAGGTAATGGAGGAAAATATTTGCCAGGAAAAATTGAGGGAAAGGTTCTCCCTTTATCTGTTTTGGCACTTCACAGAAGCTTTTAGCTTGTGCTGGAAGTAACAGAGATAAAGATGTGGAGAAAATTCACTATTGGTCAGGAAGGATGCTCCTTACCATTTAACCACTGCTAGGTGGTTGCTGACTGATCAGCTGTGCAGGGGATTCTTAGGTATGCCCCTTCATGCTACAAAACAGAAGTCACTGACCAATGCAGGCCCAGCATAGAAGAACAAGATGGGAATAGAGGAGATATGGATTTGTCTGTGCAGATCCTGGAACCCCAGAATCTTTTGCAAACAACACAGGATGATGCAGTCAGCTCACACTCTGTGTCTGGTTGAGAAAATGAATCCCAGTTCTCCAACCTTCCTGGACTCCACTTGTGCAGATACTGTGCATTTGCCCACTCGCTCACTACGCTGGCTGGGAACTACCCAGCCACACAGCGCAGCCAACCATAGAGACAAACTTTGCCTGCTCCCCCTCTCACAGTTCCTGCTCCCCCTCTCACAGTTACCAAAGAGAGGTGCAGAGGTCTGGCCCCCAACCCCGTAAAGAGGAGGAGACAGATGGCCACCGGCCTGTCCTGTGACTGCTCGCAACAGACACTTGTCCACACATGGAGCATTCCCCATGGAGGGGATGACTTGACCAAGCAGAAGAGATCATCCCTGCCTAGGGGGATGCCCTGGTCAGAGTAAGGGGAAGAGAAACCCTGCTTCATTGAGAGAATTCCCCCCCTCCTCTCCATATCCTGTAACATGATGGGGAGAGTGTCTCTCATGTAAGGGACAGGAACAGGGGAGAGGGTCCGCTGGGTCTCTCACATGAGGTAAACTTGCACCAGCTTACTGAAACACAGAGTTGATGCAATCGTCTTCAGCCATATTGAAAATGGTCTCAAGTCGCAGAAAATCATAAACTAACCTCTGAAATTAAAACATTTACCTTCGATATGAGTATTTTACTCTGTTAGATGCCAGGAGTACTGACCAGTTTTTTTAATAGACTTCTAGGTCTATCAAATAAACATCAGGTCTCTAATACTAGCCCAGGGTCTTGGGCAGTTTCTAATCATGCTGGGGACTTCTATTGGAAGTTTTACGGTAGTGTATAATGACATTAAAGTATACAGTAAAAGCATGGCAGATGACATTGAAATAGATGCCAGTTCAAATTTTTGTTAAATGTAGAGGTATTGTGGAATATATCCAGTGAGTGAGTGACCTACTGACTTTGACAACCTTCCTGTCAAAAGTGTCAGCAAACTCATATGCTGGGACATGGTCCAAGTTTCAGTAGTTAGTTTATAGAGGATTGCAGCAATACATAAAAATAGAGCTATTTTAAGACCCGATAAAAGCTGCAAAGTAAATTTTCAGACCAGGAATCATGTGCACAGCTCTCATTTTTAATACACTTAAGCTGAACTTTCCAACCCACATGTGTGCTTTTTTGTAAGTTATGTCTGTGAAAACGTAGTTCTTTGTGAAAAATGTTACGAGACATTTGTGTTCATTTGTTTTACAGCCTAAGGCCCATCAATTTGTAGTGAAATCTTTTAATACTCCTACAAAATGCAATCAGTGCACATCTCTGATGGTTGGCTTAATAAGACAGGGCTGCACTTGTGAAGGTAAGTGTGACAAAAGTAAATGAGAGCTCAGGTCTAATGGAAGGTGTTATTCCAAGTTACACAAGTAGCATTATTATGTTGAAATAATGTGTTACATAATTCTAATGTTCAACTCATTTGTTGTGTTCTTTATCTTGCAACTTTGTCACAGTGGGAGCTAAGCATTGTGTGTATCTCTCACAGAAGATACTACAGTAAATTATGTAACTGGGTAAATGACATGGGGTAAAACATTTAGAATACTATGGTTCAGTGATTTATTCTTGATTTATAATGGCAGTGAGGAAACGTGGTTATGGTCAGGTGTGCTGACAACAGCCTGACGTGGGGGAAAATGAGGGACAAGCCAACATTCAACACCAATTTTACTCTCCTTCCGGATTTGGTTAGTGTAGATTTGTACCCACACAGGCCCATACAAATAATTTAGGATAGTTTCAGCTTTCACTGTTTTCTGTTAGTAATGGGCCTGAGCCAGAATAATAGATCTGAACTTTGCAATTGCCTCAAACCTAACTTCACAACTGACCCCTCTTTCTTCCTGCTATTGCAAACCAGAATGTTGTAACCTGATACTGAATTCATCGGAATCTAGCTTTTCAAGGCCATACATTTACTGTTTCTTTACCATGATTTTAAGATACTCCTATGAGTAACTACTTTCCCCTCTTTGAATATATCAAGTCTTACTGAAATAATTCAGAAATGTAGCCGTGTTAGTCCTGGCCCACGAAAGCTCATCATCTAATAAACCATCTTGGTAGTCTTTAAAGTGCTACATAGTCCTGTATTTTGTTTCTGAAATAATTCAGTTATTGGCCATTGGAATCACTTCAATAGAGGGAGAACCTGCTTCCCATGTATTACCATAGTTTTCACATTACAAAAGAAAGGAGATTTTTATGAAACATTAACTCCTTTTTTCTCCTCTGATAAGTGTGTGGATTCTCATGCCATGTGACATGTGCAGACAAGGCGCCAGCAGTGTGCCCAATCCCTCCTGAACAGACCAAAGGCCCTTTGGGGATAGATCCGCAGAAAGGCATAGGAACTGCATATGAAGGTCATGTCCGCGTAAGTATTCAGAAACAAATGGATAATTCGGTGTTAACTTTGCTGTTGTCCCAAGCGGTCAGGGAATTAAAGTCTCTCTCTGAATTGTTTTATTGTACAAAGTTTTGAAGTTACAGCCTTGGAGACTGATGACCTAATTATTCACAGAACAGTTATAACATTGGCAGCCACAACCAAGCTCCTCTCTCTGTGCTGTGCTGTGCCAATGTACTTTGAACTTGTCTTAGAGGGAGCACTTCTAGAGTAAGAGGCCAGTTCAGTTTCAAAGTTGAATCCATTTTTGGGTCCCTCTATAGAGACTAGTGTCAGCCGTGGTAATGATTTCCTCTGAGGTGCATGGGCACTGTGCTGAGATCACCGAACAGCCATCAAATATTACTCACTCTCTCTTGGGTGGATACCAACAGGTGAACTAGAGATGAGCACAACACTGTTTCTTCTATCAATCCCTCTGTTCCTTTAGTATGAGTTTATGGGTGTAGAAGGGTAAAATAGGGACCAAACCTGTGACACTACAGGTTTTCTATGATCTAATGTAGTGCTCACATGTGGCACTTGGATAGGCTGCTGAGCTGGCTCTCAGTTCTTTTACTGCATACTTCTCCTATGACTGGTGTTACTCTTCCTTGTTAGTGACAGGCCCAATACTTGCATTATGCTCATTGGAAAACTCACATTCGTGAAAATCTGATCAGTGCTAATTATTTTACTACAGGTTCCTAAACCAGCTGGAGTAAAAAAAGGTTGGCAGAGAGCACTGGCCGTGGTCTGTGATTTCAAACTTTTCTTGTATGATATAGCAGAAGGCAAAGCAGCCCAGCCCACCGTGATAGTGAGTCAGGTTATTGACATGAGGTAAGCTGTTTAGTTCTGAGTGGAGTTTTCTGCGGAAAACCAAACAGAGCAAATTCTTCACTTTTGAGTTCTTTCAAATGAAGGTTACATCCAGGAAGGTTCTGTATTCCTGAGCAGTATTTTAAAGTGAAGCTCATTTTCTAGTAAACTTCGTTGCTACTGAAAATTTCCAGTTAAAAAATCATAAAATTTTGTTCTGGCATAAAACTTGTCACACAAGATCTCAACCAGGGACCTAAATGAATCTTTTGTGGTAGTTCTTAACCAAATGTGGTTCTAACAACTGATAGTGCTTAGTGGCTGTAGCTGAAGTTTGATCTCTCTTGCTATATAAATATCCAGAGTGTGGATTTCTGTATAAATTTCCAGTGCATTCTTATACATCTATCTATGCCCAAGCATTTGTACTGATACCAGCAGTCCAGGATTAGAGGAAAATGTTCGGGGCGGGGGAGTGGAGGAATTGGTTTTTTGTTTTTTGCTTTTAATTTAAGTGGAAACCTAATGCAAAACTGCTTGGTAGATTTATCTCTGAACATATGTATAGTCAAAAGTTGGTTGCAGCACACTTGTACGTTATTTCTGCTGATACTAACAGGAGGATGGAAAATCAAGCTATTTTAAGAATTAGGTCTGAGTGCTACACTAATGTGTGTTCAGATAATAGCTCTTCATTTACTGTGGAAGTGCACACAGAGAATATCAGGCTTTTACTCCCTTCTGAATGATATCTGTTGTCTCTGTAAGGGATGAAGAATTCTCAGTGAGTTCTGTCTTGGCCTCTGATGTCATCCATGCAAATCGAAAAGATGTTCCCTGTATCTTTAGAGTAAGTATGCATGTTGAAACCTGTTTGGTATAGGTGAGTTTTGTTAGCATGGTGCACTGGGATTGAGCCATACACGCTGTCCTTCATTTTTTGAATGTTTCTCTCCATTGTTAACACTGGTCCAGCTCCACTCATCTTAGCAGAGGTGCATACAATTATTATGCATTATTTGTATTGCCATAGTGCCTGTATCTTTAGAGTAAGTATGCATGTTGAAACCTGGACTCCAGTGTGCTAGGCACTGTAAAACAGAAGAAGATGGCTCCTGCCCCAAAGAGATTACAATATGAGTAATATTTGAAGAATATACTTGCATCTCATTCTCACAGTAAAATGACTTTTGGCACCTTTTAGAGTTTCTGTGGCTTCCCTTTCACTAATTTTTTTAAAATCTTCTTGAAATGTCTTATTTTCTTTGTTGTTCTTTAGTTCTGCAAGGGTCTGATACATTTACATTTTCTGACCTTAATCTTCCTCCATGTCTGTATTTCATATTATTCCTTGAACCATAGTACATACATTTTCTGTATATATGCATATCTCTATTGACTATATGGGCTTGATTCCTGCCAGCTTCATGTCAGTGGATAGGAATTGAGTGCAAAATACATGTAAGAGATTTGCACTGTAGATCTGATAGTAGGATCTTCCCTTCATTGGCTTTTCTTGTATTCTTGCCCTTTATTTGCTAGATGGTTCCAACAAACTTTATATTGCTTTGTTTGATGCCTGTCTGAGCTTTTACTAACTTCCTAGCCATTGCTTTATGATCCCATTCCATTTCATTCCATGCTTTTCCTCCTCTTCTTTTGTTCATTGTGCTAGAACAAAAGAGAAACCTGAACCACAAAACTGCATCCAGAACTAGGGAAGATCAGGATTGATTTTAGTGGGCCCAGAATTTCATCCCGAATTCAGATTTCAAGGCACATCTTTTGCTGAAACACAGCACCTTCATTCCATTTATTCTAGGTCCTCCATGTGCTAAAAGATTACATTATCAGTCCTTAATGCTCAGATTCTGTCCCATGTGCTGTACAGGTACTAAATTCAAACCTTTCTTTAATTCAAAACAAAGTAATGAATTTCTTCCTTTCTATTTTACCCTTTTGCATTGTATGAAAAGGGAGCAGTTCTGTTCCATGGCAAGAAGCATTTTGCTAGATTTATGCTTTTCACTCTATGCCCAGGAGCTCCAATCTCCAAATTACTACTAGTAATTTCTTTTCCTGAACTTCTTAGAATTCAGCTACATCCTCAGCTTCATTGTTCCTTCTCATTAGGCAATGCAAGTCTGATTCATACCTTAAAAAGCGTGTTCCCTATGTTGTCTTTGATTTCAGGGCATAATGATTGTGCCTCCTTTTTCCTTTTATAATCTTCCTTTTTAGGTCTGGATTCTGCAATGACCTTCAAGGGAAAGATCATCTCACCCATAAAGTCCTGTTGAAGTCTACATCTGTGCACAGCTCGCTTCAGGAGTGTCTTACTCCTCTACAACTCATTTCTACTCAGTCTCTAGACTCTCCAGTGGTCCCCAACCTTTTGGGGCTGCTGGGCACCTGGGGGTGGGGCTGTGCATGCACCGCATGCAGGGCCGAATTATGGGGGGGAGAGGGAGCTAGCCAGGCAGCTTCCCAGCGTGCCAACCTATGGGGGGCACCTGATAGCAGCTGTAAGGGGCGCCCAGCCGCATGGCACCCCTTAGAGCTGCCATCAGGCGTCATGGGCCGTTGGCTGCATGGCGCCTGTTAGAGCTGCCATCAGGCGCCGCACACCCGACTGCAGCTATAAGGTGCGCAGCGCGCCAGGGAGAGGGGCTGCTCATGCATCGCGTGCCCACTGCCCGGGGTGCAGGAATGGCTCGAGCCGGCCCTGGCCGCACGCTCAGGGCGCAAGAATGGCTTGGGCTGGCCCTGGTCACTCGGCGGGCGCACATAAACGCCCCGGCGGGCGCCATGGTGCCCACAGGCACTGCATTGGGGACCACTGCAAGCAGTTCAGATTACTTAGTGCTAGAGAAAATACTGTAGTGAGTGTTTCTGTAAAATGCGTGGGATTAGACTAAAGGAGTTAGTGGTCTGGGTGGAGATTGGCCCTGTATACTTTTGATATGATTTTGTATTTAGCCTCTGCTGATACTCAGTCCCTGGCTATGTTTTAGTTATGGTCCTAGTCCTGAATTCTCATCTATGTGCATATTCCTTTACTCTTTCTATTTTATTTAATATTTTCATTTGTATGTTTGAAACTTTGAACCAAATTCTGCATTCCTTTGCTGAGCAAAACTCTTGTTGACTTTTGTGAGAATTTTGGTTGGTAATAACTTCAAAATTTGACCCTTTACTATTAGGACTATCGTCAGATTGACTGGATATTTAGCCCCGTTCTTCTTCACTTCAATATTTTTCACTACCTAATAATCTTTCCTGTTTTATTTAAATTTCTATGCTGGTCTCTGTCTCTTGCCTTTCCCTTACAAATTAAAACTCTCGCCCAAACACATCCTCATCAACCAGTACATTGCTTATTGTGGTGTTGTTGGCTGTGTTGGCTCCATGATATTGAAGAGATTGGGAAAATGAGGTAATATTTTTATTGGTGTTTTGTCAAATGTAGCGCTTTCCATTGTTTAGCTATATTTATTACTTTAAAATCCCTAGTGTGTCTCAGAATTGAAGTGTTAGCAAGATGCTTAGATTCCTGATCTGCCACTCAATGACTTGGCCTTGATCGTGCCAATGATAGTATTTAAGAGAATATTTCTCTGGTTTTTTTTACTGCACTCCGCTTCGTACATCCTTAAATCTGAATTTCAGGAGCTCCAATCTGTTTCCACCTGTGTTATTGGTTCCAACATGGTCCAAGACTACTAGCTGCTTTTCAGTTTCTGCCTGTAGCTGGTGCACCTGGAATATGATGTTACCTAAAATAGGATGCAGAAGGCAACAAACTATTCAAGATTCAGAGTCATGACTGAACACTGTACAGTCTCTATTTTTAAGCTTTGAAACCCAGTATTGAAGTCTGCTCTTTTTCTATACCCCAGGCTCTGTTCTTCATTGGTGTTTGTGCTTCAGTGGTGTTTCCATTGAAAATGTTTAACAGAAGAATTACATTTTCCTCTCCTTCCTTCTTTTTTTTCTTGCATCCTAGTAGTAAAACTGTTCCTTCTTATTGTTCAGTTTTCAATACCACATGTTCTGTACCCACCTCGTTATGTCATGGTCCCCTGCCTAATTTCAGAGAGTCCTTCATAGAAAGCATATACAAACATAGCAACTGAAAAAGAACACGAAAAAAAAGTAAAGATGGCTTCCCATGTTTGCCATTCACTATCTCTTGATTAAGTGAGTATCATTTGGATTAAATTTACCAGATACTAAGAACTTACAGGAATTAAATAAGTATATTTCTTTTTTAGGCTGTTTACATTCTTTTAGAATAATCTTATTCAATACAACAAAGTGAGTGTTACCAGGTAATAGAAGAAAAAAATACATAAAATGAGCTAAACTAAAGTGAAGTAAATCAACTATACCGCAGTTAGATTCAGTTATTCACAAGAGATCACAGAAGATTACACACAAGCATTGTCTCCTGAACAAACCTACTTTCTTGGGGGAGAAAAACGTGAAACAGAAGTTTGCTTCTCTGTGGAGCCTTTTGCTTAGAGTTTTTTCTACTTTATTCTCCAGCAATTCACAAAGTAATATCAACAATTGCTACTTTAAATCCATTACAAACAGCCAAATTGAAATTGAACACATCAAATGCCCCCCCCCCCCCCCCCCCCTGCAGACAGAAATAAAAAAAAAGAAATACTGAATACTTTGCTTATAGAAGATCTCGCCTCTGATGTTTTTTGTTGTTGTCTGCTAGCAACTCCATACTTCTTATGAAGTGTTAGACTCTCACTTGACTTCTTAGTGATTTAGGTAGAGTAAATCATAAAATACTTTTTGGAAAAGATCTTTCAGGACTTGCTCTTAATTCAATCTAGTGAGTGACACTAGGATTTGTTCTAATGGGACATATTTACTCTTATAATAAGCATGTCAATGTTGGGGGAAAAAGCCCAAATAATAGTGAATATTTTAATATAATTTAGAATTTGATTACTGGATAAACAACCACTGTTGTTAAAGAAATTACATACTTTAAAAGGTTGTTTGCTACTGAGTGTAGTTTCAAATCAGAGATGTTTTTTCACTTTTACGTGTAGCCAGATGGTCCAGCTATTTGAAAAGTTGCACAGGTGTGGGTTGCTCAAGCATAGTTCCCATTACATTAATGTTAGTAAGAATTTTAGATGTGCACCAAGCACAGAATAGACCTTCAGAAATACATGGGAAGCATGTTTTTCATTTATAAAGATACCATAAGACAATAGAGTGGAAATCTCTAAATTATATCCTTAATAATAAATGCACTTAAAATGAAGTTTTCTTGGTTCAGTCATGTTCAGTAGATTATTTTTGCACGGATTTCTGATGCAGAAACTCAGTTCTTCAGTTGATTTGAATGCAGCTCAAGTCAGCATCTAATACAAAGTTTAATGATAGCCATGGACTTTTGTTCAGTAACTAATGATGAAGCCTCTTTCTTTTGTTTCTTAAGCATATCCCTTTAAAACTTTTTCAGGTTACAGCTTCTCAGCTCTCTGCATCCAGTAATAAGTGTTCGATCCTGATTCTAGCAGACAGTGAGAATGAAAAAAGCAAGTGGGTAGGAGTACTGAATGAATTGCACAGGATTTTGAAGAAGAACAAACTCAAAGACCGATCAGTATATGTTCCCAAAGAGGCTTATGACAGCACCCTCCCTCTCATCAAAACAACCCAAGCAGCAGCAATCATAGGTATGAAGTTGATAATCTGGACACTGTTACAATGTTAACGCTTTCTGCAGTCACCTTTCTTCCTAGGAAGTATAATAAATCCTTGCACTCAGAAAATTACGATGAGTCAAACATTTGCATCTAGATCTTTTGTTTTAAATGTAGAGCAACTGATTTGTAAATTAGGAGGGTCAAGGGTCTATGGTGCTGTGTTAAAGTTGCTGAGTCCAGAATCCTATCTGACACATAAGTGCTAGAGAGATTTGCTTTCTATAAGCTAAAGATATATTCAATCCGTTTCCTCCTACCCTCTGAAAATTTAAGAAAAATAAAGCTTCTGTCCGACTTCTGTTATTCCAAGATATATGTTCATACACTTTACTTAAAAAGAAATGTTAACACAATTTTATATTCTAGGTCCAAATAATTAATTCCCATTTATTATGTATGTTATTAATTGTGCCCCTTGATATTTATTAACTTGGTTTTGCACATGCAAAATGAGTAATTGAATGAGCAAAAACCAAATGTGCAAATAATGGATTTGCACATTGAAAATAGTGGAGCTTGTAAATCTCAATCATGCAATTTAAATTAAATCCTGAGGCTCAGTTAATCCATTTTTACTCCAGCAATTTACCAGCAAAGTCTATGAAACAAATGGGAATTTGCCTGAGTGAAGCAGACTAAGGAAAGGTGGGTTAAAATATTAGGATTTGGCCCTTCAGGAGGCTCGGAATCTGGACCCTAATATCTAAAGTAATCTTGGGTTAAACATCAATGTGAATATATAGTTTGGATAGAAAAATTACCCACAGAATGAGATAACTCTCTGTATTGACTACTGAATAACATCTGTTGAGCATTTTATGCCATATGCCAGTATGGATGAGGCTATGGGGATGTGTGGTGGATGCTCAATGTTTCTGGGAAACCCCAAAGAACATTCCCCTATCCTGTTTCATAACTAACCATCTTTGTGGCTGAGGAGTGGGCATGATTTGCATTGTATTCTGCAAACCGTTCCTTAACTAGCCAAAAGCAGCACCACAGAGTGAGTTCTACAAAACTTTCTTTACCTCTTTATCTTTAGCATTTCTATCCTCAGTATATCCATATGGTAAGAACCTAGGACAGACACTCAGTCTGGCTCTATCACTTGCTAATGCACAGCATCTGTAATTTGAGTATTTAAATTTGATGTTTTGTTTACTATAAAGCCAGTATTGTACTTAAGTGCTCTGACCACTTGTTATGGATAATGTTACACAGTGATATTTTTACTAGAATGAGAAATAGAAAAGGCTGTGATATTTCTTTCAACTATACCATGAAAGAAATAAAATGGGAAGCTACCAGTGCATTTTTGTCTTCATATAAATGTTTTGGTTTTGGAGGACAGAATTAGAATTCAAAATTATCTTAACAAACCAGAGAAATTATATGAAATAAAGATGAAATTCAGTAAGGACAAATGCAAAGTATTTAAGAAGGAATTACCAATTGCATAAATATAAAATGGGAAATGTGTATGGAGGAGAACTACAGAAAAAGTCTGGTGATTATAATGGATTACAAATTAAATATAAGTCAACAATGTAAAACTGTTGCAAAAATGTATTAATAAGCTATATTAACAGGAGAGTGGTAAGCAAGATACAAGAAATAATTCTTCCACTCTACTTAGTGTTGATAAGACCTCAACTGGAGTATCACATTTCAGGAAAGATGTGGACAAATGGGTGAAAGTCTAGAGGACAGCAACAAAAAATAAAGATCTAGAAAACATGCCCTATAAGGAAAGACTGAAAAAATAGTTTGTTTAGTCTGGAGAAGAGCAGACTGAGGGGGGACATGATCACATTCTTCAAATATGTAAAAGATTGTTATAAAGAGGAAGGTGTTTTCCTCATCTACTGAGGATAGGGCAAGAAGCAATGGGCTTAAATTGCAACAAGAAGATTGAAGTTAAATATTAGGAAAACTTCCTAACTATAAGAGCAATTAAGGACCTGAACAAATTACCTAGGGAGGTTGTGGAATCTCCATCACTGAAGGCTTTTTAAAGTTGGTTAGATCAACGATTGTTGGGGACGGTCTAGATAATACTTGGTTCTGCTTCGGTAGAGGGAACTGGACTAGATGGTCTGTAGGTCCCTTCTTCTAGTCCTGCATTTCTATAATTTATGGTTTTCTGTAAGAGACAGAACTTCATGTTCTTATACTTTTGAAGCAGTGTAAGTCCCTCTTTTGAGCAGTGTCCAAAGAGTAATGCCTCGCCTTTTTAATTTATTCATGTATTTTTTCTGTGATAGATCATGAAAGAATAGCTCTGGGCAATGAAGAAGGACTGTTTGTTGTGCATGTCACCAAAGATGGTAAGATATAATGAATTGTACCAATTATACTATTTTTCAGTTTTTGAGTAGTCAGAAAAATGATTCTGTAAGCTTTGTTCTCTCTCAATATCTTCTAGCTCCAGTTTTTTAAGTTTACCGTTCCAAAGATGATTTTAATAACTGCTGGCTGTGTATCTTCCACTTGGGAGCTAATAACCAAGCTGTTCTGCATTGTTTCTGCCTCTAGCATCATTGTCATTAATAAAGATTGTGCATTTGGAGTGTAGCTTTTTTATTATATTTGCAAGATTTTGTTGCATCAAGCAGAATGGTCTCTGCAGATATAACAGAAATAAAAATATGTTAATTATGAATAAATAAGTAAAATGGTGCAGACCTGCTTGCTGACTAAATATTTTTACCTCATGATTTTTCTGGTCATAGTCACTCTTTAACGGTTTTCACATGGAATTTGCTTCAATCAATTTGCAAGAGAAATGCACTTCTCCTTCCTAACACAGCTCTTGGGAGGAAGAGCTGCAGATGTGACTGAGATCACTGTAAAGGTCATCAAGCAAAGGAAGAGGACAGTCAGAACCTGTCTTTGTAATACAGGTTGAACCTCTTGAATCCAGTACACTCTGGTCTGGCAAGATCCATGGTCAAGCATGATTTCAGCTAGCTGGATGTCCACTTACCATAGAAGTGGCCAAGTTTCCCATGGTCCCATAAAGTTTGTTTACAGCTACTAGTCCTGGCTCTCAGTGTTCCGTGCTGTTATCTAGCTCTAATTTACCCCTAAATGTCTTCTAAGAGCCAAATGTTGGTAATGCTGATAGACAATATTGACCTGCGATTTGGCAAATTCTCTGGCTCAGCACCAGTCAGGTCCCAAGAGTGCCAAGCTAGAGAGGTTTGACCTGTATAAAAATAAGTGGGAAAATGGTTTTCTTTGTGTTGTAATTTTGAGACTGTTGATATGTCCCAAAAATGTGGTAAAAGGTTTTCTTTGCTATTCACCTAGAAGATAACCATTTTTGAAAGAATTTTTTAAATCAGAATGCATTTTAAGATAGGTTTACTTCAGGTTTTTGTTTTGTAGAGATTATTCGTGTTGGTGATAATAAGAAAGTTCATCAGATTGAGCTCATCCCTAACGAACAGCTCATTGCAGTGATCTCAGGACGAAACCGTCATGTACGGCTTTTCCCCATGGCAGCCCTGGATGGAAGAGAGACTGAGTTTTATAAACTGGCAGAGACAAAGGGCTGCCAGACAATAGTTTCTGGACAGTTACGCCATGGAGCCCTTACTTGCCTATGTGTGGCTATGAAAAGACAGGTCCTTTGTTATGAACTGAATCAGACCAAGATGCGTCACAAAAAAATGAAGGAGATCCAAGTCTTGGGTAACGTCCAGTGGATGTCGGTCTTCAGTGAGCGGCTCTGTGTGGGTTACCAGTCAGGATTCCTAAAATATCCCTTCCATGGAGAAGGGAACCCACACAGTTTGCTCCACCCAGATGACCATACGCTATCATTTATTGCACAGCAGCCAACTGATGCCATCTGCGCAGTCGAAATATCAAATAAAGAATATCTGCTGTGTTTTAGCAGCGTTGGGGTTTACGTTGACTGTCAAGGCCGAAGATCTAGACAACAGGAATTGATGTGGCCAGCAACACCATCATCTTGCTGTAAGTGTCCCTATGTATTAATGTAATGTTTGTATGCGTAGATAGCTATTAATTACTATTGTTTGTATTTGAAATGCATGTGCAGTGCCCCAGGTGCACTTGCAAGAGACATTTTATGAATGTATTACCTAAAATTGTGCCTAAGTCTTAAAATCTAGTCAGAGGCCTAGTTTTGCATTTGTGTAACTGACCTATGAGAGAACAATAGAGACTCAGGATTTTCAAACTTGAATATCTAAAATCATCGAAATGAGTGATCTAATATTCAGAAACGACGACGGGTCCTGCAACACCTTAAAGCAGTGGTTCCCAATCGTTTATACGCCGCAGACTAGCAAATCCATTCACAACTTTTGGCAGACCAGTAACATTTTATTTGAATGTATGCATATTCATTATACAAATCATGAATATGCAAATGTGAAAATAAAATGTTGCCGGTCCGCCTAGCCCCCGCTCAGCCCCTTGCTCCCCAGTGCCCACCACCCTTTGACCCCCACCACTGCAGCCCATGCCAACATCCTCTTGCCCCATGACCCCACCACGCCCCTTTCTCCCCACCCCATCCCCGCACTCCCCAGAGTGAAGCTGCCCCCTCTGCAGAGCATGGCCGTTACTGTTGCACAAGTGGGAGGGTGACCCTTCTCCTGCGCTCCCCTTCCCTTTTCAAGCACATCTTGCGCTCCCATGGGGAGGAGCACACAGTCCCGGCTGGCCACCATTACTGACAGGAGAGGAGGGAGGGAGGTGCCTCCTGTTCTGCATCCTCTTGCCACCGTCTCAGCCTCAGTGCCACTGTCAGCAAAAGCGGCCGCATGGGCTAGGGGAGTGGCCATTGGCAGCATGCACTCCTCCTCCTTTGTGCCCCCTTCCTCCCCAAGCGTGTCTCTCCAGGCATGGAGGTGGGAGGAGAAGAGGAGGTGCCTCTTGTTCCGCCGCCTCCTGCCTCAGCCTTACTCACCATGGCTGCTGGAGCTGAGCCACTGTGAACAGCCATCTTGAGCTCCAACAGCTGCCACAGCCTGGCAGCTGGTGTTTTGTGGACCAGCACCAGTCTTTGCACCGGCACTTGGGAACTACTGCCTTGAAGACTAACAAATGTATTTGAGCATAAGCTTTTGTGAGTAAATACCACATAGAATCATGGAATCCTAGGGCTGGAAGAGACCTCAGGAGTCATCAAGTCCAGCCCCCTGCCCAAAGCAGAACGAATCCGAACTAAATCAACCCAGCCAGGGCTTTGTCAAGCCGAGACTTGAAATTCCACCACCTCCCTAGGGAACCCATTCCAGTACTTCACCACCCTCCTAGTGAAATAGTTTTTCCTAATATCCAACCTAGACCTCTCCCACTGTAACTTGAGACCATTGCTCCTTGTTTTGCCATATGTCACTACTGTGAACAGCCTCTCTCCATCCTCTTTGGAACCTCCCTTCAGGAAGTTGAATGCTGCTATCAAATCCCCCCTCACTCTTCTCTTCTCTTCTGCAGACTAGATAAGCCCAAATCCCTCAGCCTCTCCTCAAAGGTCATTTGCTCCAACCCCCTAATAATATTGGTCGCCCTCTGCTGGACCCTCTCCAATGCGTCCACATCCATTCTGTAGTGGGAGGCCCAGAACTGGACATAATACTCCAGATGTGGCCTCACCAGTGCAGCATAAAGGGGAATAATCACTTTTCTAGATCTGCTTGGAATGCTCCTTCTAGTGCACCCTAATATGCCATTAGCCTTCTTGGCTACAAGGGCACACTGTTGACTCATATCCAGCTTCTCATCCACTGTCATCCCCAGGTCCTTTTCTGCAGAATTGCTACCTAGACAGTTGGTCCCCAGCCTGTAACAATGCTGGGGATTGTTCCTTCCCAAGTGCAGGACTCTGCACTTGACCTTGTTGAACCTCATCAGATTTCTTTTGGCCCAATCCTCTAATCTGTCTAAGTCACTCTGGACCCCATCCCTGCCCTCCAACATATCTACCTCTTCCCCTAGCTTTAGTATCATTTGCAAACTTGCTACGGGTGCAGTCAATCTTCTCATCCATTAATAAAGATGTTGAACAAAACTGATCCTGGGGGCACTCCACTTGAAACTGACTGCCAACCTGACATTGAGTCATTGATCACTAGCCATTGGGCCTGACAATCTAGCCAGCTTTCTATCCACCTCACAGTCCATTTATCCAAACCATATTTTCTTAACTTGCTGGCAAGAATGTTGTGAGAGACTGTATTAAAATGCATCTTTAGATGCACGTCTTCAGATGGATGGAGTAAGACATGGTTTTTTTACCCACAAACGCTTATGCCCAAGTAAATCTGTTAGTCTTTAAAGTACCACAGGGCTCCTCGATTTTGCAGATAAAGTCTAACATGGCTAATATTCAGAGTGTTTGAGACCCCTTTTCTCCTGAGATTCATGGGATTTTCTTTCATCACTTCTAAAAATGTCACTTTTATTTAGGAACTTACATTTTAGGCCTCCAAAAGTAAAAGTTTTGGTCAGCGTCTGAAGCTTTCAGGGGCATGCTGTTCTGGTTGTTTGGATAATACCTGTCTCTAATATTATTGTTGCTTTTCACTCCTTTTCCCCATCATCTCAACACCCAACTCCTCCTTCTCTTCCCCGTCTCCCTCCAAAAAAATTTAAAAAAAAAAAAATCTGGGAAACAGGTGGTATTGACCATGCATGCTGTCAATTTAAGAAAAAATCATCTGCCTTATCAAAACATGCCAAGGTTTCTTATTCCAAGATGTTCTCTGTTAAATATTTATTGCATATTTTTCAAGATATGACTTTCAGTCTACAAAAATAAAGAAAACAAAAACCCTATCACACTTTTCTTATATTTTTAAAAGACTGAATTCATTTTACAATTAGTTTAAAGCTTACAGAAGCCCTAAAATTTCCCAGTTAATTAACATGGTATTATATTTCCTGTTGGATTTTGTTGAATTTTTTTATTGAAATTCTTTCTTCCCTGTGACAGCACAATTCTCAGCCCCCCAGAAAGGAGGAGGGTTTCACATTGCATGAATGTAGCTCTTTTTGGTTCTTAAAGGAGCAGCACTGATGGACTCCAAAAGAAAATCTGTCAAATATTTCTCATTCAAATGGATGGTGGCTGCGGCCTTAGATAATGGGTCTAAACTAGGGGAAATGTGTGCTGCCTATGCAAAAATTCCAGATTTTTCACTAATAGGCTACCAGTTTAAAGACTACCCCACCTGGTCATTACCATCTTTAAAGAGCTTTTTGTTGGCTTGTATGAAACAAGTTGATGTTCTAATTCCAATTCCTAGAGAGTGTGCATCCAGTCTCCAAAAACACTATCACAAGCATCTCCAATAGACATCTTCAATGGTAAATTCATCCAAAAGGCCAAATATGATTGGATAGGGATCACTGTTAGATTTAATCCCAATGAAACTCAGCTGAGGCACACTAGAGAGGCTGTATGCTATTTCTTTCATATTATATCTGATCTAAGGATGAATGGAGGGCTTAACTCTCTAGAGTGTCAATCTGTCACATTTCACCAGCACCAAATTCCATGAAAATCTAGGAAAGAGGTAATGAAAATCAAAAGTCAGGGAAATGTGAGGACTATCTTCTCCATTCCTGGCTCTCACTGCTGTTCAGCACAGAATACTAGAAATGAACAACTAGGTTTCAACATCCAGTAAAGGTCACTGAATCCTTGCCTACCACATCATTTCATTTACCAAAGTACTTAAAAGCAAGGAAATGAATAGCTAAAAGGATACCAGAGAAAGAAACATTAAACAAAAATTAGCTTTTCAAACAGAATATTTAATGATTTATAGCTCAAAAGAGTTTGTTTCTGCATAGTTTTAGGAAAACTAATCATTCTTGTTTGCCTTCGAAGTAAATCTTTTTGCATGTTTGAAGTCAATCAGACTTTCCAAGCATATGTTACAGAGCTGCCAAAATACAGTTTTGTGATGCAAGTCAGTTGCATACTTAACGATAGAGAAGTCTTCTGCTTCCCAAAATTGGAAGCTAGCCCAGAGTTCTCAGAAGTACCAGTAATACCTGGAATATATTCCAGTGAATGCAGTTAAACTATCCTGAAGAAAGTCTGTTCTGTGTTGGCCAAGTGCATATGACAATATATTTAATCGTTCCCTCTAGGTTACAATGCACCATACCTCTCCGTATACAGTGAAAATGCAGTTGATATCTTTGATGTGAACTCCATGGAATGGATTCAGACCATTCCACTCAAGAAGGTAACTGGCATTGGGCAGCAAAGCCATTTGGCCAGACCCAGATACTCCTAACAAATGTGTCTTAAAAAGTTGATAGCAGCTGGGATGTGGGACATCATTAAAGAATATGCTAGAACTGAAAGGAGCTGCCAACAGAAAAATTAACGTGCATGGTTTTAAATCAGAGGTACCTTTATCTGTTGTCTGCTTTGGCTACGGTTTCATTATTGCAGATAAGTGAGTTTATCAAATTAGTACTCAGGAGAGTCTTTTGCACTTGTTGGTTTTATTATAAAATGTTCATGTCTGAATATTTGTTTACATGCTATTTCATATAAACTGATTATTTCTGTAAAAACCATGGTCTCGTGGCACCTTAGAGACTAACCAAAATATCTATATCTTAATAACTGTGTCAGACTGAAAAGAGCTGAACAAGTCTTGCCCAGCTTGGAATTTCAGAATGTTATAACCAGCTATGATTGGAAACACTTTGATGAGACCAGCACAGACACTACCAGAGCCAGAATGCTTTTTGAGGCACTGGACCTGCATCAGTGATAAGGGGGGAATATGTTCCTTGCAAAAGTGTAACATAACACAGCAAAGAAAATATTTTTGCCGGGAAAAAAAACTGTCATTTCACCAGTAAATATTGTATTTGTCTGCACTTAAATGTTTGAGTTAAAAATTGTCACACCTCAGGCTTAATTGACCAATGAGTTACTCCAGTTTTAAGCAGGCAAAACATTTCCTTCTGCTTATCAAGATGAAATGTATAATCTTTTCATGATTGGTAAATGCAGGAGAATGGCTACTTTTTAATCAATTACTGTGTTGGCCAGTGAGATTAAAATATTCACATACAGATTTATGTGTGTCCTGATGTCTGATTTATGTCCATTTATCCTTGGAGTAAAGACTGTCCAGCTAGGCCAATAAACATAGCCAAGGGGCATTGGTGGCACTTGATGGACCATAACACATTAGTGAATGTGCAGTTATATGAGCCCCTGATGGGTGTGGCTTTTCTGGTTATGTCCTGTGGTGGTGTCGCTTGTGTAGATATGTTGACATAGTTGGCAATGGGATTTGTTGCAAGGATAAGACACACCATCAGGGGTTTATACACCTGCACACCCACTAATGTAATATATGCCATCAAGTGCCGTCAGTGCCCTTATGCCATGTGTATTGGCCAAACTGGTCAGTCTGTAACCAAAGGATAAATGGACAAGTGTCAGACATCCGGAATGATAACACACACAAATCTGTAGGTGCACATTTTAATCTCCCTGGATATTTTCAGTAATGGATTGAAAAGTAGTCATCCTTCTACAAAAAAACTTTCACTCAATTACAGAGGGAGACAGCAGAACTGGAGTTCATTTACAAATTCAATACTATCAACTTAGGCTTGAATAAATATCTTAACTAGTTAATGCATGACAAAGGCACTTTTTTCTCTTTTGATATTCTCATCTCCACATCAAATGTTGCAAATGAGACACATCCACTCTGACTTAATTAGTCTTATTAATACTGATCCTACAATTGACAGGTTGCTTCTTTTCCTGTTATATATGCCCCAGATTCTGTAATTTCCACTTCAATTCATCTGATGAAGTGGGTTTTACCCACCAAAGCTCATGACCTAAATAAGTCTATTAGTCTCTCTAAGGTGCAACAAGACTCCTCATTGTTTTTACTGTTACAGACTAACATGGCTACCCCATAATGATAGTATAAGATGGGGGCTAATGCATGTAGGAAATTCAAAGATGGTGATTAAATAGATTTTTTTAAATAGAATATACAGTTTAAGTATAGTGAGAAATGGCTTTCATCTTTTGAAATTTGAAACTGCAAAAATCAGTGTTGTGACACTGCCACGCAAAATCATCAGGTTGCAAAAACATCATCAAGACATGATGCTAATGCCCTGAGAGAGGCCCTATATGCAAGTTCTGAAAAAAAATGTTCTGTGCAGAATCATATATTTGAATCCTGCGACTTTAGCGCTCCATTATTTTATTAAAGAAATTGTTTATACTATGTGTCGACCAGGATCTTAAAAACCAGGACCGTGTCTGTTGTGTGACCACTAAAGACGAATTGTCATTTTTTATAAGAGCAGAGATTTCTCCTATGCCACTGGCCAAAATTTCTTTTATGCTGCCATTGTTTAGTGTATTCTGCACCAGTTAGCTTCCTTCTTTCCCTCATCTACATCTGATAGGGCTGTATTTCAGTAATGCTTGTTTTATGCAGTTTGTAATGCTCATTTGCAGTCTTTCAAGATGAGATGAACTATATAAATATGATTTATTATTGATATTTGTTTTCAATTGTTTCAGGTACGACCATTGAATACAGAGGGATCACTAAACCTTCTAGGACTGGAGACAATTAGATTAATATATTTCAAAAATAAGATGGCAGGTAAGTGAGAGAGAGAGCATTTTTTTTCTACTGCTATTACTTCTTTTGAAATAGTACGTTGCTCTGGTCTCAATCTTTGTGGACTATTATATCTCAACCCCCCCTCTTTACTTATTATCTTGGAAGCAATCCAGGCACTGAGTATAATAGCCTACTTTAGTTAGGCTGAACTTTTTCTCTTTTCAAACTTGCAATGAAGAGCATGATTTTTTTTTAAATATAACTTTAAAAAGATTAGAAAATACTGGCTAGAGTCCACCCCAAGTCCAGGTTTGTCACCTTAAATATTTGGAAAATCCATGATTGTTTTACCTCAACTTTAGGTTCTTGTATTTTGGTGTATTCAAATCACAGTGTCACCATCTTAGTTGTGGTCTTTAGTTTATTGGAGATAAAGCAGAGAATTAGAACTACAAAAAATCCTGTTACAATCTTGAATCTGTTCCCTCCAAAAATGGTTTGTAATTCTGAATTAAAATCATTTTAAACTGATCCAACCCTCTCCCCCCAAAACCATACCCTGTGACTCAGAACCAGTTAGTGTCAGAAAGCAATACAGTACCATTCTTCATAACTTGCTAACAGAGGCTATCTGCATTTGTATACTGAAGAGTTGGCTGTGAAACGTTGACAATTTCTTATGCTTCTTATAGCCCATTTCTATGAGATGTTTATGTTGCTTTCTTCAGTAAAAATGATCAGTTGAAATATATTTCAGTCACATTTCTGTTTTTACTTTAAAGTATTTATACTGGTGTTTGAGGATTTGTTTATTGGAAAGTTAATAGAATCTGACAAATACTACATAAATAGTAGTATCATAATCCGATATTACAGTTAAATGTATAAAAGTGTTCCATAGAAAGAAGAGAGTAACTAGTTTAAGTAACAGAGGAGTAGCTATGTTCGTCTGTATCTGCAAAAAAAATTAGGAGTCCTGTAGCACTGTAGAGACTAACAGGGCATAAGCTTTCATGGGTAATACCCACTTCATCAGATGAATTGGAGTGGAAATTACAGAGGCCAGGGAGATATATAGATATAGATATATAGATATATGAAAAGAAGGAAGTTACTTATCAAGTTAAGGACCAGTGTTAATGAGGCTAATTAAGTCTGGAAAGATATGGCTCACTCACAGCAGTTGATGAGAATGTGTGAATAAAGAGAGGGAAAATTGCCTTTGTAGTTTTTTAAGAATGCTTGATAAAGATCATGTAGGTGTTTGTCTCTGAAGAATTGGAGCAGATACAGTTATATCTTAGAGCATGGCTGTAGATAATAGATCATGTGATGTGTCCTGGATAGAATCTAAAGGCATATAAATTAGAATAGCAGTTAGTAGGTTTCCAGTGTAGCGTAGTGTATTTGTGATCATCATTTGTTTGTACCGTAGCGTCCAGGAAGTGAATCTCTTGTCTGGTTTGGTCGAGGGATGTAAAATTTCATTTAAGTAGTTAACCTGTTAAACATGATGTTTAACCCATTAACGAATTAAAGGGGGATGGGTGGAGGAAATGAAGGTAGGTGCCTGGGTTCCACAGTGGGTGGGGAGCTGCTCCAGCCCTCACTGGTGAACCGGGACCATTCAGCATCACCAGGTAAGTTTAGCCTGGGAACAGCCACAGAATCAGTGCCTATGGAAGTGACAGGAGAAAGATCTGGCTTTATTGGTTCATCACAGGATGACTGAATCACCAATGTGATGCAGCTGTAAAAATGACTAATGAGGATTGGTGATGCATCAGGCAAGATATTTCCAGTAGAGGCAAGGAAGTGTTAGTACCATTGAACAAGGCACTTGTCAGACCTCATTTGGATTTCTGCTGCAGATATGATTTAATCCTGTCATCAAAGTTTATTTAGTCTGAAAAAAAACCTTTTTCAAGCTAAAAAGGAAAGGAAAGAAAACAAAACAAAGCAGGAAATTTTTCATTCTCAGTGAGTTTTAAAAAAGTTTGCCAAACTCCCCTCTTCCCCCCCAAAAAAAAGCTGCAGCCCTTGGCATGATGACCTATCTCAGCTCCATGGGACTACTGCAGCAACATTAGCCAAACTCCCTCCCTCTTAAGGGCCTGACCACATTTCTCCTTGCAAAGCACCTCCCAAACAGTCCCAATCAAAATACTGGAGAAGCAGCAGCAACCTCCACTGTGTCCCCCATCCACCCACCCACCCACACACTTTCTATATGCAGTTGTGTCCTTAGAGGATCAGCCCATCTTCTTCCCTTCAAGGTCAGCAGCCTGCACCCCTCTCAGATCTTTTCCAGCTCTTTGTGGCTGGCTTGAGCTCCTCTATCCCTCCCTGTCTGCCTGGCCACTGGGAAGAAGCCTCCCCGCCGAAGAGACACAGAACAAGCACAAGCAGGCAGCAGCAACAGGCTCTGCTGCAATGTAACTTTCTCCACTATTGCTGTGCCTCCATCTCCTCCTCCCTACAGCCCCCGAGGGGTTTTTGGGGGTGGAGCCTGGGTGGAGCTCCTTTGACTGAAGCTTCTCCTGGGAGTTTGACACCCACACACCTGCACCCTTCCAAGTGCCACCAGCTGCCGTGCCTGTAGCGGGGCTGTGCGGTGAGTCAGGGGCAGTGGCAGAGGATGGCAGCCATGCACCCTGCCTGCCTGGAAGCCCATTCCATGGCCACATCCCTACGCCCATAGGCACAGCCCCCTGCCAGCCATGTGGGGCCATGCAAGCCCACTTGCCCCACGCTGCTGGGCTTCTCCCTTGAGGGCAGGGAGGGAAGTTTCCCATGAGACCCTGGTACAGCAGGTCAGTGCTCTCCTGGCCTGCAGGCTGTCCTGCACCCTGCCCCACTCCTGAGCCAGCACTGCTGTCTGACGGTGCCTTCCCAGCTCCAGGAGCACTGCCTGCCCTGCTGCAGATGGCAGAGCGCCTCACCCGGACTTGGAGCTGGCCAGTGGCCACCTGCCTGACACGTGGATCCAGCTCTTGCCTCCGCTGGGGTCGCCGCCACTCAACATGCAGCTCTGGCCCTGGCCAGGGCTACCGGAATAGCTACCGCTCCCTACACAGCCTGCAGCTCCAGTCCTGGCAAAGGGCTGATGCTAGGGCAGGGCTGGGCAAAAGGGCCTCCATAGGTCAGATTCAGCCTGCGGAGATCCTGCCACTCCTCTACTTCCTGGCCAAATCAGGGAGTAAGGACGGGGGAGTGCACGATGCAGAGTCAATCCTCGCAGTTGACTCTAAGCACCGTATGACAGAGGGCAGGGAGTGAGAGACTTTGCGCACTCTTCCTCCCTTGCCCCCAAGCCAATAAGAGCTTGGAAGCAGGGGAAGCACACAGTCTCCTTCCACCGCCAGCTTCATGGGTACCTAGAGGGAACCACCAGATGTTCAGATCTGCTGGCGGTTCTCTTGGGCGGGGGAGGGGGCAAAGACTTTGCACGCTTCCCCAGACCCATCAGCATGTGAGTCTTGGCCCCGCCCCTTCCGCATGAGACTACACTCCTTCTGGCATGGCCTGGGACCACTTCAAAAATTTCTAAAGTGGCTCCCAGTCAAAAATTATTACACACCCCATTGCTATGGCCAGGGCCATGTGGTGGCTGCCCTGCTTCTCCTGAGGTGGGGCAGCCCCCCCCTCCCACCAGCCTTGCCCCGGAGCAGCTGAGCAGCCACTGAGTGACTCTGTTGAAGTGGTGGGCAGGAGGCAAATTCACACACCTTAGAGGGAACACTGATCATGATGGTCCCTTCTGACTTGAAAGTCTATGAATCCGTGAGTCTCTGCAGGGAGATGATGAAGCACAGTCTGAACATGGGGGGAAAGTATCTCCCCTTTTCTGGCAGTTGTGGCAAAAGATAACAGTTTTTGTGTTTCATAAGAAACAGTCTGTTCGGACAAGATATAAATGAAGAAGCAGCTTGTATTGAGTAGGGATGTTAGGTAGCATGTAATTGAATAGTTGTGCAGCTGCATCATATTTTAGAAACCAGCTCCATGCACAGACCAGTTCTGCCTGCCATCCCACACTGCTGCCTCTGACATAGAGGCAGCAGCAGGTGGCCTGAGCTCCCCACGACAGAGGCTTCGCCAGCATCCATGGAGCAGTCTCTGTCTGTGGTGAGCCCAGGCCCACTGTGGACAGAGACTTCTCCACAGCTGCCCACCTTGGTCCCCCACTCCTGCACTGCTGCCTGTAACAGGCAGCAAAGCAGAGGTTGGGGGAGGAGGCAGATGGAGCCGGTGCTTGGAGAAGCTGGCCTTTAAGCTGGCTCCTCCCAAGCAGTGATTCTTGCCTCTCCCTGTCCCCCCACTGCCTCTGTGGGAGGCAGCAAGAGGGAGGCAGGCAGCTGCACTGAACTGATACACATGGAGAGCCGGCTTAAAAATCAGCTCTCCATGCGCATCAGCTCCTGCCTCCGCCTCCCCCCCCATACACACACACACTGCTGCCTCTGATACAGCGGCATCAAGGGGCGGGAAGGTCACGTGTAGTCGACAGGATGGCCTTATCGGTTAATTGTGTAGTTGTCGACACATTGACATCTCTAGTATTGAGTTTCCAGATGTATGATGATCTAGCAATTACGGATGTGAAAGGTTAACTCGTTAACCAGTAAGTGTCATCCTTAATGAGTGATGCTTACTGGTTCTGGTTAACTGGTTGGGAATGGAGCAGCTCCCCACCTACTGTGGGCAGGGAGCTGCTCCAGTCCTGGGGAACCCACCACAGACTGGGGTACTCCAGGCCAGACAAAGCATCTATGGTCCACAGCAAGCCCTTGCATGAAGAAAGGACATGTGAAACTGACTTCTTGTTATTCCATAAACAAAAGCTATTTTAAAAGGAATCTGCCTCCAAACTCTTAAAGCAAGGAAATGAAAAGCCATGAGATACTCCTTTGTATACAGGTATATGCTACATATTATATATACATACATATGTGTGTACCTGGTTGTCTACACGGCATATTTCTACTGCCAGTGACAGACTTCCTATTTTCACAAGCAGCTTCCTCTGGATTCCAGTCATTAAGGAAACACATTACTCAAGATCTTCACGTTGATCTCCTTCACACTAGAATGCATACATTTAATTAGTGTCATCAGAATTAGAAATTTTTTCATGAGTATATGAGCATGGTTTAAACTTGCTGTGTATTCTATTTGTGAAGGGAATATGAGCTATTTTTAACATTGAGACTGCAGCGGGACTATTTAGTTGTAAATGTTGCAGAATCAGGTTGTTACTTGATTATATTACATTTTTACAAGCTTTGTTATGTTCATAGTATTTCTGGTTGCTCAGACATAACTTACATGTTCTCCTGAGAAGATGTGATTTCTGGGGTGAATCTTCCAGTGCAACTCTCGAGTTGACAGAGAGACACAATGTCAATGTATTTTGAGGATTTATTCATGATTTTACTGTTTTTCTATTTGGGCTTCTGAGCAACCACCAGCTTTTTTTCTCTCTCTCTTACAGGGCAAATTATTTAGGTTCGAAAGCTAAATAATATTGTTCTAAATGGTTTATTAAATTATCATGTCAGCAATCTGATGAATATTTCTGCTGTTTTTTCTAGAGGGAGATGAACTGGTAGTTCCTGAGACATCAGATAATAGCCGGAAGCAAATGGTTCGAAACATCAACAATAAGCGTCGTTATTCATTCAGAGTACCAGAGGAGGAAAGAATGCAGCAGAGGAGGTCGGTATTCAACCTATACTTGTCTTCTGTACATGCCTGTAGGCCCTGAAGGAATGTCTGTCTGATGTCAGTGTAGTGTGTCATTTGTTAGAGAAAGTTGTTTTCAGACATTTGTCCTTTCACCACTGTGTTTATCCTTGATGTAAAATGTGTACTAATACTAGTCTGGATATGAATATGCACTGAATATTTCAGTACTTTGATTCCTTTTTAATAAAATACCTGTGTGAAACAGTCACTGTAATTTGGAATGCATGCCTCCACATACTGTATATACATATATATGTGTGTGTCTCTGCATACACTGTATACATAACGATCTGTAATAAACATTTTATAAAAGGAAATTACATTGCTAACTATGCATATGGATTAATTACTTTCAGACTCTGGTTCTGTGTACCCATCTCATCCTCAACAGTATTCCAAGGCATTTGTTTTCTAGTATCGCTTAACTGATGAGTCTTATGGAACTGTTATAAGCGTGCTCTAAATCACATGGTGCTTCAATACATGTATATGAAATATAAATGTCTTTCAAGAACTGTCATTTAGGCAAATACTAGTAATCCAAGTATCTTTAGAGTTCACATTAAGACTTCCCTTTCATGTTACTGAATATTTCAGCCATCTGAGTTCCTTCTGCCCCATAGAAGATTGCCAACAACTGTATTAGAACACATCTGAAGAAATAAAAGTTTTTGTTGGCTACCAACTTTTCTGCTGGAAAACATGGTTGACCTTTCACTTTGTTTCCTGTTCAGCTCAAAGAACAGCTATTGTACGGTGGTGCTAACGCCATAGGTCTTGTCTTTCTTTACCTTTTCCAAGTTGCTTGGGTTGTATCTTCTTTAAAAAAATATTCTGAGTTCTGAAATGAATGCATCTGTGCCATTTTTGGAGAACTCTTATAGTAATTCTGACCATTGAATATGAAAGGTAGTGTTCTTCTAATTCTTCTTTTATCTTCTGTCCTTCATCTATGCCTCCATCTTTGCAGCACCAAGTCACCAATGAGCCCGCTTCTGCAGCTTTTCTTGAGTACTGTCTCAGCTCACACTGGTTGTGCAGTCTCTGAACCTCAGTAACTATTTCTGGGGGTGGCCTGAGCTCCCCACGACAGAGGCTTCGCCAGCATCCATGGAGCAGTCTCTGTCTGTGGTGAGCCCAGGCCCACTGTGGACAGAGACTTCTCCACAGCTGCCCACCTTGGTCCCCCACTCCTGCACTGCTGCCTGTAACAGGCAGCAAAGCAGAGGTTGGGGGAGGAGGCAGATGGAGCCGGTGCTTGGAGAAGCTGGCCTTTAAGCTGGCTCCTCCCAAGCAGTGATTCTTGCCTCTCCCTGTCCCCCCACTGCCTCTGTGGGAGGCAGCAAGAGGGAGGCAGGCAGCTGCACTGAACTGATACACATGGAGAGCCGGCTTAAAAATCAGCTCTCCATGCGCATCAGCTCCTGCCTCCGCCTCCCCCCCCATACACACACACACTGCTGCCTCTGATACAGCGGCATCAAGGGGCGGGAAGGTCACGTGTAGTCGACAGGATGGCCTTATCGGTTAATTGTGTAGTTGTCGACACATTGACATCTCTAGTATTGAGTTTCCAGATGTATGATGATCTAGCAATTACGGATGTGAAAGGTTAACTCGTTAACCAGTAAGTGTCATCCTTAATGAGTGATGCTTACTGGTTCTGGTTAACTGGTTGGGAATGGAGCAGCTCCCCACCTACTGTGGGCAGGGAGCTGCTCCAGTCCTGGGGAACCCACCACAGACTGGGGTACTCCAGGCCAGACAAAGCATCTATGGTCCACAGCAAGCCCTTGCATGAAGAAAGGACATGTGAAACTGACTTCTTGTTATTCCATAAACAAAAGCTATTTTAAAAGGAATCTGCCTCCAAACTCTTAAAGCAAGGAAATGAAAAGCCATGAGATACTCCTTTGTATACAGGTATATGCTACATATTATATATACATACATATGTGTGTACCTGGTTGTCTACACGGCATATTTCTACTGCCAGTGACAGACTTCCTATTTTCACAAGCAGCTTCCTCTGGATTCCAGTCATTAAGGAAACACATTACTCAAGATCTTCACGTTGATCTCCTTCACACTAGAATGCATACATTTAATTAGTGTCATCAGAATTAGAAATTTTTTCATGAGTATATGAGCATGGTTTAAACTTGCTGTGTATTCTATTTGTGAAGGGAATATGAGCTATTTTTAACATTGAGACTGCAGCGGGACTATTTAGTTGTAAATGTTGCAGAATCAGGTTGTTACTTGATTATATTACATTTTTACAAGCTTTGTTATGTTCATAGTATTTCTGGTTGCTCAGACATAACTTACATGTTCTCCTGAGAAGATGTGATTTCTGGGGTGAATCTTCCAGTGCAACTCTCGAGTTGACAGAGAGACACAATGTCAATGTATTTTGAGGATTTATTCATGATTTTACTGTTTTTCTATTTGGGCTTCTGAGCAACCACCAGCTTTTTTTCTCTCTCTCTTACAGGGCAAATTATTTAGGTTCGAAAGCTAAATAATATTGTTCTAAATGGTTTATTAAATTATCATGTCAGCAATCTGATGAATATTTCTGCTGTTTTTTCTAGAGGGAGATGAACTGGTAGTTCCTGAGACATCAGATAATAGCCGGAAGCAAATGGTTCGAAACATCAACAATAAGCGTCGTTATTCATTCAGAGTACCAGAGGAGGAAAGAATGCAGCAGAGGAGGTCGGTATTCAACCTATACTTGTCTTCTGTACATGCCTGTAGGCCCTGAAGGAATGTCTGTCTGATGTCAGTGTAGTGTGTCATTTGTTAGAGAAAGTTGTTTTCAGACATTTGTCCTTTCACCACTGTGTTTATCCTTGATGTAAAATGTGTACTAATACTAGTCTGGATATGAATATGCACTGAATATTTCAGTACTTTGATTCCTTTTTAATAAAATACCTGTGTGAAACAGTCACTGTAATTTGGAATGCATGCCTCCACATACTGTATATACATATATATGTGTGTGTCTCTGCATACACTGTATACATAACGATCTGTAATAAACATTTTATAAAAGGAAATTACATTGCTAACTATGCATATGGATTAATTACTTTCAGACTCTGGTTCTGTGTACCCATCTCATCCTCAACAGTATTCCAAGGCATTTGTTTTCTAGTATCGCTTAACTGATGAGTCTTATGGAACTGTTATAAGCGTGCTCTAAATCACATGGTGCTTCAATACATGTATATGAAATATAAATGTCTTTCAAGAACTGTCATTTAGGCAAATACTAGTAATCCAAGTATCTTTAGAGTTCACATTAAGACTTCCCTTTCATGTTACTGAATATTTCAGCCATCTGAGTTCCTTCTGCCCCATAGAAGATTGCCAACAACTGTATTAGAACACATCTGAAGAAATAAAAGTTTTTGTTGGCTACCAACTTTTCTGCTGGAAAACATGGTTGACCTTTCACTTTGTTTCCTGTTCAGCTCAAAGAACAGCTATTGTACGGTGGTGCTAACGCCATAGGTCTTGTCTTTCTTTACCTTTTCCAAGTTGCTTGGGTTGTATCTTCTTTAAAAAAATATTCTGAGTTCTGAAATGAATGCATCTGTGCCATTTTTGGAGAACTCTTATAGTAATTCTGACCATTGAATATGAAAGGTAGTGTTCTTCTAATTCTTCTTTTATCTTCTGTCCTTCATCTATGCCTCCATCTTTGCAGCACCAAGTCACCAATGAGCCCGCTTCTGCAGCTTTTCTTGAGTACTGTCTCAGCTCACACTGGTTGTGCAGTCTCTGAACCTCAGTAACTATTTGAATTCTCACGGATGTGGGCTATCAGCCTGCAAAACAACATTCCTTTTGTCCTGCCCTTCTCCCCTTTTCCCAAGCTGGGGGATGGAATAGATCAGCAAGGTTTATCCTTCTATTTAATGTGGCCAAATATTGTTTATGAATTTTTATTTTAAAATAACAAATAGTGAAAATTATATTTGTGTGATCTTTTAATATCTATCTTTCTCGTGTATAAAATATTTAAACTAAGTATTTTCTCTTACAGGGAGATGCTACGAGATCCAGAAATGAGAAATAAATTAATTTCTAATCCAACTAATTTTAACCACATAGCACACATGGGTCCAGGAGATGGAATACAGATCCTCAAAGACCTGCCTATGGTAAGCAAGTGGGAGAGAATATATGTATGAGTGAATGCATCTGAGATTGAATATAAAAGAGAAATTAAAATTTGGTTAGTGTTAAATATATATGCAAAAAATTACATTCTTTCATACAAGCAGCAACATAACTAGTGAAAATGGATATAAAGAGTCTGTACGGTCCAAGGTGGAATTTAAAATAACATTGATAAATGGGAGTTTAACTGTGAGTGTGTGCATTTATACTGGAGACACAAATCGTTGGTGGCTCCTGAGTTTATACCAGCACCATCTTGCCGCCCCGATAGGGAAGGCTCAGCTTAAACAAGAATACCCGAAAGCTACAAAATACATTTGATATACTGTTTGTTATAGAATTGATAAATATATGCAGTTTTAAGAATAAATTACGATTTGATTTAAATGTCACGACTCACTCTCTCCAGCAGTGAAAGGCAACTCCAGAAAGTATGAAGAAAGCAATGCTGCATGGGGCTCAACTCTCTGTATAGCTCATGGTGCCTCAAGAAGCTGCCTTGTTACCGTGGCAACTTACCATGCCCTGAGTCAGTTTTATAAAGGCATTGCTGTGGTAACCACTGCTTGGTGAGGTGACGCAGTTAAGACTGGGCTGTTGAGGGTTTGCAGGGATTGGGAATGGGCTTATTCCCTGCACCTCCCCAGGGCCCTTTCTCTCTTCGTAGGACTCGTGCCTGTACACAAGTAGCTGGTTAGTCTTGTGCCCTCAACATGCTTTATGCTCTAGCTCTCGGGTCCACTGCTGCTTCACTATAAATAAGGAAGAGTTTCGTAGCAATGTACTTTATACATTGGGCAGAGGTGAAAATAAGTATTTTGTCATTGGTCAGATAATGGAACCATATCAGCATATCAGTTCCACTGTGCTCAGGGCCCAGATTTCATCCATGCTGAAGTACCCATTTTCCACGGTCTCTAGCTAGACTGCTGTGCCTGCTGGCATCACTGAAACAGAGCCTCTTGTGTGAAAACTCCCTTCTTTAAATTATTGTTTTGCATTATGTAAAATCATGATAGAAGTGTAATGTACATACACACAGGCACCTCCTCCCCCTTATCTTTAATGGGTGTTACCTATGTAAATTAGTTTTGCTGAGCTATGGCATGAATGAGGGTTTGTTTATGTAACTTGTAGGCATATGTCCCAAATACAGTGATCCTTTTGTCTAAAAGATCATCACTCTTAACTAAAGCTCATGGGCGGAAGGCAGTAGACCACGTTGGCAATTGTTAATGGCCCTTGAGAAGAAGTGGAGATGCTGATAGTAAGGCAGAGGAAGTGTGCAATCATATTACCCTGCTTAGGGTTTGGGGTATAATTTCTGGCCTCCGAATGTTTGTTTATCTTATTTTACTGTTACATTGCACATACTATGAAGCCCTGCCTATTGTACATTAGCTACTTGGTGGTATCATTATAATATATTATGACTTCACTGAGGGGAATAGAAGATGGGTGGGGAGTGGGCAAGCCTTTAGCTAAACACAGAATACTTTCAAGAACTAGAACATGAGGTTCAAAACTAATGAGAAAGTTGAAGAGACTTAAGAGTATTAGTCTGAGACATCTGTATGGTTTTTCTGCATGATAGTTCCTCTTTGAAGGAAAGGAAATGCCTTTGAAATTATTTTATGAAAATTTAAACAGATATGTATGTCTTCTGAGTGCATAATTTTGATTTAGGATTTTATTCATATTGCACAGATTGCATTTTCTTTCTTAAGAGAAAATAAAGTGTTAATGAAATTTGTTCCCAAGAAATATGGAAAAGATCAGAAAATGTTATTTTTGAACCCCTTTTTAAAGCAGAACTAGACAAGAGCAATCTCAATACTTTTTATATGTTAAGGTTTGTAGCACTTGGGGGTGCAGACTGTACAGCTAACATGCATTTTGCAGCTAACATGCATTTGTTAAACCGTTTTTTATCAGCTCTAATTTATCTTTTTATTTGAGAAATTTCAAATAATTGTATTTGTGCAGTTTTACATTTAAAGTAAACAGTTTATCCTTTAAATGTTAGAATGCAAAAAAATTTTAACACCCTCCCCCCCAAAAATACAAAAGATCAAAAGGCTCAATTTTTCACCCTCATTCATTTGAATGAATCCTTACTTGGCTACCCCAGTGCTACATCAGGATCTGCTAGTATGGATCCATACATCTTATATGAGGTTTCAGTGAAGTCAATGGAATGGTGCACAAAGAAAAGGATCCTTGCTTGTACATCTTGAGGCAAGACAGATATTTTATCATAGGATTGGATAAGAGCGAGGGGTTTAATTGTAAGATATTGACACTTTTATCTCTGGAACTGCAGTTTGTATCTACCTCAAGATGATAGTAATGTAAAAATAACTGTTGTCTAACATCGCCCTGGTGACTGTTGTCAAATGAGTTGAGTTTCTAGTGGAAACCTGTCCACCCCACAAAAACATCCACTATTGCAGTTGACACTAAGTGAAATTCTCAAGGGAAAGGCCAAAGATTGACTGAACCATAGAGATTGAATTCCTAGAGTACATCTTCCAGGTCAAGGTTGAGGTATTTTGTCAGGACAATGTGTAAGGAAATATTGTGCTGTCTAACCCATGCTGTACTCGTTTTTTCATGAGTGCTAAAATGCACTTCTAAAAAAACTGAAGTGGGGAGAGAGGAGGAAACAGGCTTAATTTTGTAAGCTAATTCCTCTTCCTGTGTTCCTTTTGGAGTATAAACTTCTCTGAGCAGACGTGTTAAACATGTCTTGTACAACACTAACTTAAAGTCAAAGATTTTAATTTCAGTATTTTAAAGTTCTAAATAATAATTAGCATAACTGAGGGGTTTTAGCTGTTCCAAAAGGATGTAAGTGAGTAGTCAACTACCCGATAAGCCTAGTCAAGTTGACTACTTGCTTTCCCCTATCCCCCACCCCTTGCTGCCTCTGAATCAGAGGTGGGAAGGGGAAAGCAGGAGCTGGTGCTGGGGGTAGCTGGCTTAAAAGCCAGTTCCTCCCACTACCGTCTCCACAGTGCCGCCTCCTCCCCACCCCTGCGCACTGCTGCCTATTATCAGAGGCAGCAGCGCGGGAAGCGAAGCATCCTCTGTCTTTGGCAGCCCAGGCTGGCTGCAGGCAGAGGTTGCTTCAGCAGCAACCCCTGTTCATGGCCATCCCCAGCCCCATGGGCAAGGGATGCTTTGTGGCAGCAGCTCCCATCTGTGGGGGTTCCCAGCTCGCTGCTGGGTCTCCCCATGAACAGGGGCTGTTGTCCCAGCTCAGGCCAGGTCTGGGATCTATTCCTGTTGCACCTCTGCAGTTTAAATATAGTAGGAGCCAGGCTGCCTGCGTGCCCTGCTCTTACTACATTTAAACTGCAGCGCTGCAGCAGCCTTCCCCTATCAACTAATCATGTAGTTGATAAAAATTTTATCAACTGCACGATTACAAGACGTCCCGCTCTGTCGCCCCAGTATACCTCCGTTCCACACATAAGTCATTGACACTTACAGGTGTTGTAAGTCCTCCCATTCCCTGCTCTTAAGTCACGCAAATATGGAAGTCAGCCACGGAAAAAAAATACCCTGCTTTAAGTTGTTTCACTGTAAGTCCAAATCTTTTTGGAATGTATCTTGGACTTATAGCAAGGACAGCCTGTTGTGGATTACCCACCTCTTACATTCTAAGTTCCAAACTGTGGTACACTTTCTCCAACATTTGTGCCAGCATTTGGACATGGAAATGCACAGCACATCATTTTAAATTTGAAAAGAATAGTAGTGTTTGCATGTAACAATATTCTCATAAAGCTATAATTGCTGTGTGCACAGTTTCTAGGTTTGTGGATGCTTATATATACTTTGTGAACACAGTTCAGACACCTATTTTTGAAAAGTTGTCTGTTTTTAGGAGTAAGTCAAACTATTGGATCTGTTTGGAGTAAACTGCTGCCTTTTAACACAGACCTAGCCCGTACTCTTGGATTTACCCAAGCCTCTGCACGCAGCCCTGTTGACCTCAATGGGTCAATCTACAATGCAGCTGGGAGCAAGTTTCCTGGTACCACTCAGCAGACTCGTGTTAGCAGGGCTTGGCCCCGCATGCTAAAATTAGCAGTGTGATTAATCCAGCTTGAGCAGAAACATAGATTCCCTAGCCCACCTGATTCTCTAGGCTTCAGTGCTTGAGCTCCAAACTGAGACAGAACATCCATACTCCTGTTTTTCATGCGACTCTGGCTGTCCCAGCTGGAAAACTCACTGCCAGCTGTAGCTTAGACATACCCAGTGATGCTCCAGGCAGCTCTGTCTGCACAGTGCTCAGTGTAGGATTGGGACCAACGTACAAAAGTAAATCAGAACTGTAAAGTTTGTGAGCACAGTTCAGACACCTGTTTTTGAAAAGTCTGTTTTAGGAGTAAGCATACTTCCATTATATGCGAATAGTTAGTTTGAATCTCTTTGTGATAAATGTGTTCACTTCCTTTAAAGAATAAAAAGTTTTTATCTGCCACTAACTGGGCTGTAACTTTTATATATAAATGTATGTTCTAGTTCTGGATCGCAGTCTTGATTTGTGTAATTTAGAAACATTCCTGTTACTATCCTCAGACTTACTTATTTACACTTTTTCCCCCCTAGCAGTCTGTCACCAATTAAAAACACGTGCACTTGTGTCCTGACAATTCAGTACATTTTCTGGCCTCCCTTCTGCCCTCTTGACTTTTGAAGCCAGCTTGTCATGGATGCTCCCTTGTAGTGAAGATCTGAATTCTGGAATTACACTTAACTGCAGCACATACCAACTACCTGTGTCCATTGGATATGCAGGCATGATTTTACATTCATACTCTGCATGCCTGATATTTTCCTTACAAGACTATTCTTGACAGCCATTATACTTGAACTTCAATTCCTCATACTTAAATCTGACTTCATGATGCATAAACCATTGTACTTTAGTAAATCCGCTTGGTTACTGAACAGGTAGAATTTTACA